TTCTAAACATTAAAGTCTGAATCCTGCTTCCCCTGCCCCCACCATCTGCCAGGGATATCATTCTAAGATAACACGCATTTCTCAACAGCGGGAAGCAACAGGCAGACAACCAAAATACACTGCTGAAGGGAGCAGCGGGTGAGACAGGAGAGGTCTGCCGTGCCATTTGGGTCCTGTAAAAGTTACGTGACACTCCATGTTTAAGCCCGATACTCCATCACAGATGCTTGCTTGGTTCTCACTCACCACAAAACCTTAGCTTGAAATAATCAGCCTCAGGGTAAAGTTCTTTTTTTTTAAAGATTTATTTATTTTTATACAAGAGCTGGGGTACAGTTCAGAGGCATGGGAGGATGAGAGGATTCACCAGAGACATAGCGGGGAGCAACAGGCAGACAACCAAAATACACTGCTGAGGGGAGCAGCGGGTGAGACAGGAGAGGTCTGCCGTGCCATTTGGGTATCTCCCTGGCTGGCCAAGAATCGAACTAGTGCTGTAAAGGTGGCAGACAGCTTCACAGTGCTGTGCTCAACCCGCTGTGCCACTGGGGAGACCCCTCAGGGTAAGGTTCTTAATGCAGTTTTTGAACTCCCATGACTCATACGCTATGATACATGTATTTTAATTATGCCTTGGGAATTATTTTTAATGATGCAATAAGCCTTCATTAATAGAATTCAATTCTCAAAGCATCAGGAAGCACAGTGGATGGAGAATGGTAGTTGGGGAAATGCATTTTATAATATTAGCAGAGTCCTGCATTTAGTTTGATTGGGGTCTGCCATCTGGGTGGAACTAGGAGTCAAAGTGGGCACTTCTGCTGGAGAGCTACCCACCAATATCAGTCACCTGACAGACTGCCAGCAGCTCTTGAGAGGAGAACAGGACCTCTCGCCAGAGGTCAGAAGGTGAGTGATGATATTGCACCTCAAGGACACAGCCTCTCTGTGCTTTGGCCCAGCCCAACTGTCAGGCTGGGACAGACACCGCAAGAACAGAAGCTAGATGACAAATACAATCAGATTCTTCTGGGCTAAAACATTGCCTGGAATGTTCAGGGTGGAACTTCCAGCCCCATGAGAATGTTACCCTTGGAACAGGGAATACTGGAGACAGCTGGCGAGTTCCCCGCCTCCCAGAGGAAAACAAACCCAACGAAGCCATCTGACTCCATCTTATGTGGTATTAGAATTTTTTATGTCCGCTATCAAAGGAGGGAATGGAATTATTAGCAGCACTCCTCCAAAAGACAACATGGCGAACACCCCACTTGTTTACCAAAAGCTAAACTGGTATTTACGTAATTATTGGTAATCGCCCGCTCCCCATAAAAATGCAAGTTCCAAAAACATGGGGACTGTGTCTTACTTAATGTCCTTGTGCTTCCTCCCATTGGGGAAGGCAGAGGCATTTAAGAAAAAAGGAAAGAATTGATTTTAATCAAAATTGCACTAAGTGCTAGTGCAATTTTGAGGAGTGGGTTTGAGGAGATCGAGGGAGTTTCTGCAAAGAAGAAAGGATTGAGTTAAATTCTGAGAGACACATAGAAGAGGAGTGGGTAAAGGTGCTTTCCTGGCAGAGGGAGGAGCCAAGGCCCCCAGATGGCTGAGCACAGAACAGGGGACAAGGGAGGAGGGCCCAGCAGCTGGGGCTGCAGAGTGAGGTTGGCAAAGGACAAGGGATGGGGGCATAGGGCTGGGACACAGACAGAATGTGTTAGGGAAAATCCTGAGGGCCAAGGAGCTTGTTTTTGCTCCTCAGTGCAATGAATATCCTTTGGCGGGTTTTAAGTAAAGAAGTTGCATTTTCAAAGGATGGTTATGAGCTCTTACGAGTGGTGAGTGGATGGGAGGAATTTAAAATAGATTTGAAGAGAACAATTAGGAAGTTGTTACCATGACTTATGCAAGAGTTATTAGCTTGAACTGGGGGAATCAGATGGCGAGAAATCGCCTAGGATGTGTTTCGGAAGAGGAATAGGACTTGTCATTGTTTACATGTAGGGGAAACGGAGAGACGGCACTGAGAGGGAACGCCTCGTGGCCAGAGGACACAGCGGCCAGAGCAGTTGCTCCCCGAGAAGGGGTCCAAGTTTAGAAGGAAAGATCATGGTTTACAGAGGTTATTCAAGAAACTGAAATTAATATCCACTAACCCTGAGTGCTGGCCAAGGGGGTAGGTGCTATGCTTATAAGGCCCATGGGCTTTAATGTAACCACAGTCCTATCAAACAGGCACTATTGTTCCCGATTGAGAGATGAGAACACGGAGACTCAGAAAAGCTTAGTAATTTAGGGCCAATCACAGAACTAAACATCAACAGAGCTGGGATTTGAAGCCAAATCTCTTCCGTTCTAAAGCAGCTAGTCTCAGTGACCAACCCATAATGTATCAGAGAACCCAGGTCTGCTCGGAAGACAGCATGGCCTCAAATGAACTGGATCATTCAGGTGAACTGTGAAGCCAAGTCTTCCAGGAAACCTCAGTCCTGCTCTCGGGGCTGCGGGAGTGTGTGCCTCACATCAGGAACGCGAGTTTACTCTTCCACTTCCTGCCTTGCTCGTTTTCATCCCTCTTTTTTGCCCAAATGCCAAGGTTACTGCCAGCTTCCCTGACCCACTTGCTCTGCCTTCTCCAAGTCCCTGTAATATTTTCATCATTGTTGCATTTTGTACTATTAATATTTTTTTACACTGATGTCTTACTTGGTTCCCCTATATTCCTGTTATAAGGGAAACCATCCAATATTTTTCTTTTTCCTTCTGGCTTATTTCACTGAGCATAATTCCTTCTAGCTCCATCCACGTTGCTGTGAATGTCATGAGTTTAACAGACAATTATAAAGCAGAGACATCCTGCAGGGGAGGAGGAGGGAGAGGGATCAGAGGGAAGGAGGGAGGAGCACAGGGGACTGAGGTGATGATGCACAGGTACATTGATGAAGGAAATTCTGTGGGGATGGGGGAAGCAAATATTGTTTTAAAATGAACAATGATGTAAAAAATAAAAAAAATAATTATTAAAAACAATAATAAAGTATCAATAACAGCAAAAAAAAATGTTTTCACATTTCCACTCACTCTGGCCATGATCACATGCAGGCTACCCATTTCCATATAATTTCTACTTCTTTATATTCTATTATCTCTAATAAGAGCTTTTATATACCACATTTACTTACTGTCTTAAAAAGTCTAACAGGTGGGCCTCCCTGGTGGTGCAAGGGGTTAAAACTCAGCACTGTGAAGCTATCACAGCCACTGCAGCACGAGTTCAATCCCCGGCCAGGGAGGTGACCCAAATGGTGCAGCAGACCTCACCTTATATGCCCACTGCTCCCCTCAGCAGTGTATTTCCATCAGTCTTCCTGTTCTGTTCCCCACTCTGTCTCTGGTGAATCCTCTCACCACCCCCCCCCCAAATCTCTGGCCAATATGCCAGTTCTTGTATGCATAAATAAATAAATCTTCAAAAAAAAAAAGTCTATCAGGTACTAAGGTCAGATGTTGCAAACAGACTAATAAATGCCAGTTTCAAACTATGTCATACTATGTCACAGCGTGGGTCTGGCTGCTGACCAGCAGTTCAGTCTTTGCAATGCCATCACTCTAGCTATAGACTGGAGTCTCATTACATGCGCATTTAACTTCAGCACATTTAGCTGGAGGTTCTCTCAGAACAAGAGGGTGAGCACAGCTTACACAGAGCAGGCCTCTCACCTGCCAGTCCAATCTGTGAGCACCTGGCCCACCCAAGGAGCTGAATCTGCTGTTCCTCCAGAGGTTTTGGCCCCTAAGGACCTTCCCCATTGTGAGTTATTCCCTGGGTAGACTCTGATTTTAGTGTTGAAAGGTACATATTTTAGATAAGCCGCCTCTCATTTTAGTCAGCTACTTTTCCTATTTCTCCACTAGATACAGCCTCCGTATGTTGGGTGACTTGAGAGACAGTGAGAGATCATCCCTGGTAATTGTGACAATGTGCAATGTGCACCCTACCATCCTTTGGGAGCTAACCGCGTAGATGTGACTGCACTGGTGCCTGCATGTTTGTGTCATCATCCAGCTTTTTTTTTTAATTTTACTTATTTTTGTGTAGAAGAACTGGGGTGTAGGCTAGAGGTACAGACGGGTGAGAGGATTCACCAGAGACAGAGCAGAGAGCAGAACAGGCAGGTATACTGAAATATACTGCTAAGGGGAGTAACGGACGAGACAGGAGAGTCTGCTACGCCAGGTGGACAGCTCCCTGGCTGGGGATCAAACTCAGGCCCTAGTGGTGATAACACTGAGATTTAACCCTTAGGCCACCAGGGAGGCCCCATCATCCAGCTTTTAAGCAGCACTCTGCCTTTGTTGCTGACTTCAAGTGAGCAGGAATTGGAAGGGGTGTGGCTATAACTGATAAGCATGTGTATCCAACAAATGAGGCGAAGACGGAAACTATTAGAGCCCCCTGAAGTCAAGTGAGAACAAAACGATGTAACTGGAATAAAATACAGACCCAGCCCAAAATGCAATCATTGGAGATTTTAGAGTCATTTTTACCTTTCTGGAAAAGAGGCCTCCCTCACCATCACCTGTCCAACCCACATCCACAAATAAGATGATCACAATGACACACTGTCAGGAGAAATCATATTCAAACACAGACACTCTCACTCTGAACCACACCTGCTGCCACTGGGCAGATGTATTGATTCTCAGAATTTTGTTCATGTCATCGGTATAAAATGCAGATATCTACTGTCAACTTGACACTGGCAGCTTTCACCTTCTGGATTGTAGGTTCCTTGCAGTTAGGCTCCAGGCCTTAGAAAGTGCCTGAGTAAAAAGAGGCCTCTGTCAAGACTGGAGAGTGAATAATGAATCATAACCAGGTTTGCTTCTAGGGACCCATTTCTTCTAAAGCTTTAGTGAGAAAGGAAGACACTGCCTAAAAGCCACCAGATGCTCATCCCCAGCATGGAGCTCTGCTGTGCACACTGCCCTGTCCTTACCTATCCAGAGAAATGCAGCACAGGTGAAAAATCGACGCCGTGGTGAGCAGCACATCTAGTGATGTCCTGACCAGGCAAAACATCTCCCCGTAAATCCAGATGTCTTGAACCAGCTCGATAGCGCCAAAGGGCATCACCAGCACGGAGACCAGCAGATCCGCAAAGGCAAGAGATACAATGAAATAATTGGTTTTTATCTTCCTGTGAATGAAACAGTGTAAGGAGGATTCAAGGGGGAAGGATGAGGGAAGAAAGGTGAGGAAAAAGGAGCAAGAGAGAAAAGAGGGGGAGAGGGAGGCAGAAAAGGAAGGGAAAAAGGAGGGAAGAAATAAGAAGTCAAATAACATTGTGTGCTCAGCTTCCCCTTCCCTCACTTTGCTGGAAAGATCCTCCCCTAGCTCTCTCTGTTTTATTCTCCTCTGGTCACTCTGCATCCTCGGGTCTTGGTTCTGTCATTCTCAGGGACCCTCCCAAGATGCCTGTCTCACAAGTGGTGGTCAAATTCCTTCACTTTCCACTCTTCCACTGACTAGAGTGTGTCTCACATGTGTCACCTCTCAGAGTCATGTGTCCATGCACCACCACTAGATGAGCGCACATCTCCTTGCGGAGAAGGAAGTAGATGAGGTAGGCTTGCCCCTTGTATCCCCTTCTATGTCTCGATGACTCACTTCAGACTGTATGCTGGAATCACCTAGTGGATTTTTATAAATATCGATGCCCACATCTCACCCCAGATCAATTAATTGAGGGGCTTTGGGTAATTTACCCACCCGCCCAGGGTGGGTATGTAAAATACATACACCCAGCTCAATTTAAATTTCACACTAATAACGAATAACTGTTTAGCATACGTATATCTCAAATGTTGCTGGGGATGTAGTTATCCTACACCTTTGTCATTTCAGTAAGGTTTTCAGTGGATCTAAATTGCAACCAGGACTGAGACTGAGGAGGCAGAAAAAGCAAAAGACCCATGTTTAAATCCTCAGTCATTCACTAGTCAGCCACCTCTTCCCAGAACCACTGAGAAAGTGGGACGGTTAGGTGAGATGTGCTCTCAACAAGTGTGTTATATAAAGTGATCATAATTATTAAAAAATAACAGCAAAGCTGAACATGGGGGAAAAGGCACCACAGAAACATACTTAAGCACTGACACTGGTGTTGTTCCCATGTATCTTCTTTCATAATTACATAATTACTAATTATCCTTTCGCAAACACATTTGTAATGGAAACTGTAAGTTGATACCCCAACATTCCCAAGAGAGCCCAGGGGTGCACCCAGATCTCCTGACCAGCCCTCCCCCAGTCTCACCTAAGCTGCCTGTCCCTGCACACAGCCACCATCACCAGCAGGTTCCCCAAGATGGCCATCAGGATAACCGCCGAGAGGAACGTGAGCAGCACAACCTTCTCCACTGACCCAAAACCCTCCTTGGAACTGGAAGACACACACACAAAACAAACAAACAGAAAACAACAAAGAATTGAAGGACATTCTGAGACACAGGAAATAAAATTAATCTTTCTTCATTCAACTTCAAGATGGTAACCCTCACCATTAGCAGCTGCAAGATACATTTATTGTGCACCTAATATGTGCTAATGCTGCCCCCTTTCATGTGACTCCAGCAACCTTCAACAAAATAAGAGACAGTTCAGAGAGGTGCAGTAACTACCCTAAGGTTGCACAGCTATTCTCCATCAGAGACCGTGTGGCTTTCCATCAGAGTGCTTACCTCAGCTTGTGCTCAGAAATGTATTTGGTTGATGTCTGTTCTGTGCACCTACCCACCTACATTATAAATTTCATGCAGCAAGGACCTCATCAGTTTTATCTGATGACAGATTCCATTTCTCCATACCATTCACATTTAGGGATGAAGGAAAGGTGGCGGTGGATGCATGAATGACAGTAACTTTTACTGGGACTGTCAGACTATATACAAGGTTCACTAGTGTTCCAGACTTGCAGAAGTTGCTGTGTGCATGTGGGCTCTCCAAGAACAGGTCCTTGCTTGAAAGTTGTTCTTCAAGAGTTAACCTGGACAGATTGATCTCAGACTCCATGAAGTCCATTGGAAAAATAGTAGTCCACCAATAAGCTGAGGGCTCCTTTCACTGCCCTGGACTTCATACCTTTTGTTGCCCAATAGGACAGGTCAGACTGGTGTTCTTACTAATTTCCCCAAAGGATTTGATTCTGTAGACCCTGCCTCCTGTAATCACAAAATTTTATTTTGCTAGCTTGGAAGTGAGTGTACCTCATTAAAAATAAAGGATACGGCCTGCAGCTATAGTAAAAATTTTCTTTTTAATTACCGTAATAAAAAGTTCTTTTTAAATGAAGTTTCAAAGCATCATAAAACTCTCAATCCATGACATACATTTTTCTATGGGGAAACTTAGTTCCCAGAGAGGGGAATGGAGTTGTCAGAGCAGGTTAGGGACTGTTTTGGGAGAGGCTGCTGACCCACACCTCTGGGAGCACTGTGTCCCGAGACCAAAAAATACCTGCATTTCCTGAGCTCCTCTGACCGAAAACCAAATGGCAACCACTCACCAAGGCCTGGCTCTGGCCTTTTCCCAAACTTTTTCCATTACACCTGACATGGAGATAAGGTGTGCACCTGGAATAAGGAACCAGCTCTATAGTGATTGGAGAATCAGAAAGCCCCACCCCTCTGCCAATGAGTGTTATGATAGATTGAAATTTTTAAAAAAGATTTATTTATTTATGCATACAAGAACAGGGACACAGGCCAGAGGTGTGGGGGGTGAGAGTATTCACCAGAGACAGAATGGGGAACAGAATAGGCAGATTGACTGAAGCACACTGCTGAGGGGAGCAGCGGGAGAGTCAGGAGAGGTCTGCTGTGCCATGTGGTTTACTCCCTGGCTGGGGATCAAATTCATGCTGCAGCAGCTGCGGATAGCTTCATAGTGCTGTGTTTAACCCCTTGCGCCACCAGAGAGGCCCTAGATTGAAATTTTTTTAGCTAGAGTTTAGGTGGAAAGAAATATGAGGTATGTTTATATAAATTAGCCCCCCACAGCTGAATTCTATCAACAGTACAAATATCAGAGGAGAAATATTTCATTCAATAAAGACCAAGTCTTCAATTTGGTGATGTGGCTACCCAAAATTAATTTAACCTTAGTCCATGTGAATTGCTTTGCAAAGCATCTAACAAAGGAGGTGACAGAGGTTTTTTATTTCCCTTGTCCTTTCCAAAGACTTTGACTCAGAAGCCCTCTGAGACTTGATCCCCCCAACATCTTTCCATAATGTCAACCCCCATTTAATATTCTCCGACCAGCAGATAATTTTGACTTTCTTGATAGCATTAATTCTTATTGAAGTTATTTATTAATTTATTCTTAACTGGACCTTAGTCCCACAGATTGTGCTTATCATTTCCCCACAGTTCCCAGCACCTGGCCTGGGTCTAGTTTATAGTCTGTATGGTATGTAGGTGTGTATAGTACACAATAAGTGCTCAGTTATTTGCTGATTGGGTAAAAGGGAGACATTTTGTATTCATTATGTTGAGGTTTATTTTTCAATGTTTTTGAAAACTTGTTGATGGTTGGAGAAGATTTTACCTACAGAAAAGTAGACTCAGGGCCTCCCCTGGTGGCACAGGTGGTTGAGCGCTGCACTGTGAAGCTGTCTGCAGCCTCTGCAGCGCAGCTTCAATCCCCGCCAGCTGGAGAGAATCCCACACAGTGCAGCAGACCTCTCCTGTCTCACCCGCTGCTCCCCTCAGCAGTGTATTTCTTCAGTCTGCCTGTTCTGCTCCCTGCTCTGTCTCTGGTGAATCCTCTCAGCCTCTCGCACATCTGGCCTGTACCCTGGTTCTTGCATAAATAAATAAATCTTAAAAAAAAAAAAAGGAAAGAAAAGTAGACTCAGGCATAAGACACAAAGGCTATTTAGAATAATCTAAACCAGTGAAAATGTGAAATGGTGCAGCATCTGTGGAAAACAGTTTCTCAAAGAAAACTTGTTCAAAAGTTTCACAAATGGCTAAGTATAGAATTACCATGATTCAGCAGTTCCAAAGAATGGAAACCTGTACACCCATGTTCACAGCAGCATTATTCACAATAGCCAAGAGATGGTAACAATTCAAGTGCCCATCAACAGATATGTGGAAAAACAGAATGTTCTAGAAACACACTATGGGACATCATCCAGCCATAAAATGAATAAAGTTCTGATACTTTGCTACAACCTGGATGAACCTTGAAATCATTATGCTATGTGATAAGTAGGCATAAAAAGAAATATATTATGTGTCTCCACTCTCATAGACATATAAAGTAGAATAGTGGTTAGCAAGGGCAGACATATAAAGTAGAATAGTGGTTAGCAAGGGCTTGGGGGGAGGGGAATAAGAATTTACTTAATCACAAAAAGTTTTTGCAGCTATGAAAAACTATAGAAATGGGTAGTGGTGATGGTCGCATACTTGTGAATCTCCTTACTGTCACTGAATTGTACACACAAAATGGTTATTTCATGTATTTGTGGTATAGGCTAGTGTATAGGGATGAAGACAGGAGGGGACTGAGTGATTGTGGGTCCCTTTCTTATGGATGACTGATCTCAACAAATCTTCATGGATTCCCCATCAACTGCCCCTTGCCATTGGAACCACCTCCCTCTGTCATCTTTCCTCTGGTAGGAGAAGAAAACAGCTTCCCAGTGTCTGTGGTGAACAACTCGCGCTCCAGAGAATGTAAATTTCACAGCTAGTGGGAACGTAAGTCAGAGAACCCCAAGCTCAATGGTACAGCTCATGTGTGGTATGACAATTAGCAGCTCATTTGTGGTATGCCAAGTAGAAATAGCTTGACATTAAACTGTGAGTGACAAGCAAAATTTAACCATGGAGAAACCTTTTTAATTAGGCAGAACTGTCCATTGAACTAAATGTTAGTCCAGTATAGATAATTAAAATGAATTAGGGACCACTTCTGTAAAATGCACATTAGCTCCTCAGGTTATCTTTGACACCCTCTGAGAGAATAGTCAAGCACTCTCAGACTGTTTTCTCACCAACGAGCTATATAGCCCCTAGCCTGGTTCTTTGACAGTTATGAAAACTTTGCTTTACCTTTTTTATTTTTGCTTTATTAATGATCTCTTGATCCATTAATAAAGGAACTTCACAAAGTTGCAAAATTTGTTTACTATTTTCTCTGCTCTTAATAAAAGAAAACCTTCAACAGTAATTCTGGGTAAATTTTCACAACTATTGGTGCACATGAAAGTGGATTAAAAATGATGAAGTGTTATAAAAATAAGGAACCATTGTTATTAATATCAGAAACCCACATAAGGGCAATAGTTAGGGAAGTTTTAGGTGATGCTTTGTTATATCATTCAGAACAATTAGTTTCAAAGACACACACACGTGCACACACACACACACACACACACACACACACCCTTCACTTTAGCAGTTATCAAGAATCCTTTCCTCTATTTTTATTTTCCACTGACCTAGTTAATAACAGCTATATAACTTCAAAATAGTCACTTCTCTCTCTGAGGCTCAGTTTCTTCATGGATCAATTGAGGAAGTTAGATTAGATTTCTCAGTTAGCAAATATATATTGTCTGCCAACCATATGACAAGTCCCGGGATATAAGAGTAGAGGAGGAGCATAAAGCCCCCACCTTCATGGAGCTTGCACTACTGATGGAGAGTGATGATAAGCAGGTGCACACCAAAGAAATAGCATTACTGACCAGTGTTTCAAAATCACACTCTCCAACCGTAATGTTCATATGACTATTCTATAGTTATGGTTAAAGTGTGGATTTCAATCCCAATTCTGGATCTGAGGTGTGGTCTGCAGGTCCGCATTTCTCATAAGACCACAAGCTCAATGATGAGTGCCAGCAATTTTCAAACTGCCTATCTATTCCTTAACCCCGATCAAGTACATCAACTGGGTGATGTGGTGGAGAATCACTGAATAAGAGGAGAATGTTAGGTAATCAGAGAACACTGGAGGTGACACTTAGCTGAATTTTGATCTGTATGGATGATCCTTGAGTTAGAGGATCCAGAAGAAAAGCAAGTGCAAAGGTCCTGAGACAGAGAAGACTTTGTATTCACTATTGGGGGGTAATGAGCAAAGAATAAAGAATCTGAGATGAAGTAGCTCTCCTGTCTACCTGTGACTAACAGGTGTCTTTTTTTTCTTTCTCCTTTTCCTAGTACACCTGTCCTTTTAAAGTGACAGAAAAAAAAAAAAAAAAAGAACCTGAGATGTGTGTTGAAAAGCAGATACATGCAGATCCTGTGGGCTTTGTAGGGACTGGTGAACAGTTTATATCTTACTAGACAATTAATGAAAACATAATGAAGTGACTTAAGGAGAAATGTGACATTGCAGATACAGATCTGAGAGAAAGTAACCCTATCAGGTACCCTCGCCAGGCAAGGGGAGGCAGTGCTTGGAGTAGGATAGGAGCTGTGGAGATTGAGAAAAGTGGATGGGATGAAGAGACACTGGGAAGTAAATGGGTAGGTAAAAGCAAAAGATTCCAGGGAAGAAAAAGCAAAAGCAGAAATGAAAGTTGCATTTATGACTTGCTCATTTGAATGTATGAGATGGGGAAAACAAGTGAAGGATGAGACACCCAGAAGACTCCATTCAAGTGGAGATGTCAAACAGGCAGTTGAATGCATGTGGCTGGAGCACAGGATGGCTGGGCAGGAGACACACACTTGGAATTTCCAGCATTTCTGTGGGATTTAGAGCCTTGGGGAGAGAGATTATCCCCCAAGAAGAGAGGGCTTTCATGGTCTTGATGAGCTCTACTACTTAGCCAAGCAGAAGAGAAGGAAGAGCCAGTGGTGGAGACTGAGAAAGCATGTACAGGGATGGCTGGGGAACACCAGGTGACTGTGGTGTTGTGGAGGCCAAGAGCAAAGAAAATGTCAAGTGAAAATAAATATTTTCCTGGAACTACCAATAGGCCAATTCTGGAAATGACGGGAGGCAAGGAGTTGGGACAACCGGAGCAATTCCTTTTCTTTTTATGTATT